GCTGCTGTTGATTGGAGGTGAATTTTCCACTCTTCTACTCTGACTTTCAGAGTGAAGGATGTGGGGCACAGGGTGCTGAAAAGAACACCCATGACTCAAATTCTGGCCTGCTGATCAGGAACTGGCCGTAACTTGCTCCTTGTATGGCCAATGATAGATGGATGGGAGAGAGAGAGAGACAGACAGACAGACAGACAGACAGACAGACAGACAGACAGACAGATAGATAGATAGATAGATAGATAGACAGCAATACTTGTAGATGCACTAACAGGCAATACCCTAGATAGGTAAACAGAAAGACTAGTTTTCATTCATTACTAGGATTCATGGAATAAAACTGCATTCCATGTATTTTTAAATAGGAATTGAGGCTACAAAAGGAAAAAACACAGGGTATGATTGGTCCTTTGCTGTTTAACCTTCCTATATATCCATTGCTGCTGGACTGCCCTATGAAAGTAAAACAATAGAACTCTAGAAACGCTAAGTAAATATGTGAAGTGCATTGACTTTCAAATATGAGTTTACAAATGTAGAGCAGAGCAAGTGAAGAGGTCACTGCACACTGCGGCCAGCATCAAAGTCAGGAACAATTATTGTCATGCTCCAGTGCTTTGGCACAGGGCTCTCCAGGCTGGTCCGGAGGTCAGGTATAGTACACTGATTCATGACACTCGGGAAAATGCTCTTCTTAAAGGTCACATGCGATGGTCAAGCTGGGAAACATGAAATGATATTATCGGTGCATGATAAAACCTATTGGTACACACACCACCACTCAGAAATGAGTAGTCATGCAAGCAAGCAGAATACTACCCAGGAACACAAAACTACTAACGTAAAACTAATGTAATGAGCTAACAAGTGAGCATTTGCTAAATGACTTATACAGTCAGGTCACACGTTAATTTAGCAAATTATGTAACCATGGCTGGGCTCACAAGCCGAAGGCTTGTCTGTTCATGCTGTTTTTTTGATCAACTTAGCCTCTATTTAAAGCAGAACTAAACTCACCGAGTTAAAGTAGAACTAAAGCTAAAACGTTAGAGGCGTTATAACCTATCTCATTTTTTTTGTTATCTGTGTCCCATTGGAGAGATTTCCCTTCATTTCCTGTCCCATGGGTGAAAAGTGGTGGAAGGAAAGAAAATGGCATAATCTATGGACAGCGTAAGATGGCTGCTTCTTTGTAAAGGAAAGGAAATTTTTGTTTCTGCTTTACTTAAGTGAAAAGAACAATGTACTACTTTTCACTGAACTGCTAACCCTGAACTGTTTAGTTACTACAGGTTGCAGCCATCATTACATATTCCATAATGATGGCAGTACAAATGGAATATCTTGCTAAGCTGCAATAAATGGTTCCTATTGCAGGCTCTTCCATGGAAAAAGAAAGAAACAGATCTGAACTTCCCTCTTCTTCCTTATGTCATGGCCTGAACTCAGTGAGCACTGAGCTGCCTCCTCGCAGCTGCTGCTGTTTTCTATAATGGCAGTTTGTCTTTCCAATAATAGACTAAGCATGCTCTTTGGCAAAATGTTGAGTGGTCAATTTTCTCATTGCATTAGCATTGGTGCCATTACCAATAAATGGAAATGCAAGCGTGACATTTTTTTTTTTTGTGTGTTCCATGAATGTGCTTGTTTACTAAACGTGAAATGAGAATGCAGACTAAAGAGTATAGAGAGTTCTACATAATTGTTATCAATGGCATTGTTCTGGGCAATTTAGTGGTTTTGCAAACATCCAGCATAGTACACTTTTGTGAAAGCCTATTGGTGAGCACATCTCCCAAGGAGATGACCAGTGGTACATATAAAACGCATATTGTATTGCAGCTTTTTAGTTCTTATATGTGGTGACTGCATTAGCTTTCTTTTTTCCAGATAACAATATTTTTAGCAAGTACAAAAATGTCCTGTTGATCTTGCCAGAAAAGTAGTGTCCTTGTCGCTTCCATTGAGCTAAACTTGAAGTGAAACCAATGTTATCTTTCTTCTGTAAACTACTGATCCATATGTATTGGAGATGAAAAGAAGAAGACATGTTTTGAAGCCCACCCTGGGTAACAACCATGTCTTCCTCACTAGATGCAGTGCAGGATTTAATGTAGCCATCTTAGGACAGAAAGTGTGATATTCATAGGATTACCAGGCAAAAATAAAGGGTAATAAAAAGCCTGATAGAAATCGAATGCATCCAACTCATCTAAGAACTGGTAAGCTGCAATATATACCATTTTTGTTTTGGGTTTAAATACGCTTTAAAAAGCAAGTAAAAATACAAGAAGTCTACAACACAACTCAAGAAATGACCCAAGTATGAAAAAAGCATGCAAAACTGTGCTTAAAATATGTATATAAAACAGACAATTTGTACCCACTGTGGTGTGAGTAGGCTTATACTGTACAGATGCCACAAGCTGTTAGAATATTGTCTGATGAATCACTGCGTGTAGGCAACCGGTACAACTTAAACCACGGACAAAGTATTACTAAGCCCCAACCACTCAACAGAAACCAAGATCAAGAAGGTCCATACTTTGAAAAACTGAAAACATTTAATTTTCAAAGTGATTGTAAAGGATCAGATTTTATTTATTTTTTTAAATACCAAACATGTTATATTTACCTAAAATAAACAAAGTGCAGCACTTTATAACAGGTTAAGAAGTTCGACCTCAAAAGTTCGACCGAGAATCGATCTATAGACACACATAAATGTTCATAGGATCAAATAGGCAATATGTGAATCCTTTTAAGGACACAGCTACATATCATCCAGAGGAGGAATCTGTATGGAAGGAGCGTGTGCCGTGATTGATCCATAGCCCAGCAAATCGATTGAGGACATCTCTCTCTGTGGGATATTACATTCATTTGAGGATACACATAAACGCGCATTTCCTATGTGCGGTCGGTGAGTGCGCATTCTTGCCATTTCCCGGATCCGATTTCCAGCTGTGTTCACATATTGCCTATTTGATCCTATGAACATTTATGTGTGTCTATAGATCGATTCTCGGTCGAACTTTTGAGGTCGAACTTCTTAACCTGTTATAAAGCGCTGCACTTTGTTTATTTTATTTATACCGAAGGTGGTTGTGATCATTTTCAGTGCTATTAGCTGCTTACTTGATTATTCTATTAGTAGCGCTCACTTTATTGCATATTATATGTTATATTTACCTGCTCTGTGCAATGGTTTTGCACAGGGCAACTCCTATCCTCTTCTTCTCGGGTCCCCGCTGGTGCTATCGGTCCCCCCCCCTCGCTGACTGCCCCCATAGCAAGCCACTTGCTATAGGGGCACTCGTGCAGGCTCGATTCCAAGCCACACTTTGTGTGTCCATTGACACACAGAGGGTGGTTTGGCACTGCCACCCATTCTCTGCTAACTGGCTGTGATTGATAGCAGCAGGAGCCAATGGCTCCCACTGCTGTCTCTAAGCCTAAGAGGAGGGAGAGAGCCAAAAGAGCTGCTGCTCTCATGCATAGTCCTGGATCGAGACTGGGCCTAGGAAGTAAAAGGGGAGGCCATCCGGGAAGGGTGGGGGGAGGGCAGCTGCACACAGAAGGTTTAGGTTCTGAATAGGGTGTAGAGAGGTTTGAACCTCTATTATTTTTTTATATTATTGTCTGTGTACCTATTTCTCTTTCTTTCTGGCCTGGTGATCACCTAATAGCAGGACGGAATGCAAAGGGGAATCTCCGTATGGGAACAGATACAGAAATATAAGCAAGAAGAGATTCTAACCCTTCCCCACTCTACTAAAGAATGTATTTGCATTGATACCTGTCTCTCCAACCATTTTTTTTTTCACCCTGGCTTATTGAAAGGCTCGGGAAGATGAAAGGGTAGATTGAAGCTCAATATTAAGGGAAAGGTCAAGAAGGTAAGTACTAGTATATTTTTAATGATCATCTGCTCAGTTTTTTAATATCATTTAAATATAACCCATTGTGAAAACTGATCCAATCTTACTGAGCTGGGCAATGAATGGAAACGTCTTGGGAAAACTCATCTTGGAAAGTCACTGCTCCTCCTCACAGCCGTGAGACCAAATTACTCCTAAAACCAAGACTTCTGACTTGCTTTAAAGCCCAATTCCAGTGTTTAAGCAAAAAACAAAAATGAATTTCCAACAATGGCTAAAAATAAAAAAGCAGCTCCAGCTGCTATAGTCACCTATGCTATCACCGGTAGGCTCCAGCAATGCGGCACTACCACTTTTCCTGCATAAATGGCGCTTACTGTCAATTAACCAATTTTCTATGGGTACCAGGTATTAACTCTTCGCTCCCACCCTGGACTCAAAGAGGAATGTTGCACAGAGCAGGAGCACATCATTACATGGTGCCACTCTCTGAAGAATTTAGGATTTGTCCACCACTAGAGCCAAGGAGAACCTTTAACCTCCCTGGCGTGATTATTATTTTAGATTTTTGGTGCTGAAAGCGGTATCATTTTTTTGCATGGAAATATGTATTTTTTTTATTGTAGGCTGTAATTTAGGAATAACTCCCTGAAATCTGTCCCAACAAGAGTCTAGTAAACATTCCGGATATGATAAAACTTGAAACACAAAATCATAAATTATAATTTAATAAATAATCATAAAAAAATAATAATATAATAATAATAAATTTAATTCAATAATATAATCAAACCAAAAACACTGAAATTTGAAATATAGCGCCAAGTTCGCACATAACTGAGCAAAGTCGCAAAGTCGTTTTCAGTGTCTGATGACGAATTTCCCCCATGAATCATTATCACTCAATTCTGCAAGTAGTTCTGATTTACTATCGCTGTTCTCTAGCTGGTCTAAAACCGATTTTGACCTAAAGGGACGCTTTTTGGACGCCATGGACTTTTCTAAGTTTCCAGGCAGAAAGAACAGTCAAAATGCAGGCAGGGCACAGGACAAAGCAGTAGGGACAAAATGTATGTGAAATGCTTTGATACAGGAATGTTTTTGCTATGAAATAATCGTAAATAATGGCGCCCGTTACGCCCGATGTCACAGGGACCGGAACACGGAAGCCAGATGCCGGCATCGGCCGGAGGAGATGGCCGGGGATGCTGCAGGGGACGCATCGCGGGAGCGAAGGACAAGGTAAGCGCTGTAGGGAATCCCTGTGCAACGCCACATGGTAAGCCCGAGTGTAGCTCGGGGTTACCACTTTTGGTACTGAAACTTTACCCCGAGCTACACTCGGGAATACCGCCAGGGAGGTTAATGTCATAGGACCAGACCCAACAACACTGGAAAAAGGACTGGCTCCAATGGGGTGGAGGTAATGTAAGTTAAAAAATGAAAAAAGGCAAACAGTACCTTGAGTTATAATAACGCAAAGCACCACCCCTACACAATGCACACCAGTCCGCACCTGTTTTAGTTTACAAAAAGATAATTAAACAGACCATTTTGTCTATTCGATATATTCAGTATATGTGCAGTTCCTGAAATGTATTAATATTTAATGATTATCAAAGAAAGTGCTGAGTCAGTGAAAGAAAACATGCATTGTTGGCATAGCCAACAAAGTATTTCCGAGTACTCTTCTGCAATCTACACCTAGCACAGAACCATTATAGACGGTCTGCGGGCTGAAATGAGGAAAATTCACCAGCACATTCATTAACGTGTGCTGAGTCCCTGTCAGCAAATCAATGCAGGTTCATTTCAACATTAAATGTAAAAAATTGGAGTTTTGTTTACTAAAACCATGGGAAGAAAAATGCTTCCAGTACAGCAGGAGACAGCTGCGCATATCATTTGTCAAGGCTTGACTGCTAAGTAAGCCACAACTATGGCTCTCTAAAAAAACATTTTATGTTATTGATGCTGTCAGGAGAAATATGACAACACTCAGAAAGCAATCGCCAATTTCTATTTCCACCTTGGAACACATTACTCACTATAGAACGACTGCAATTAAGAAAACGTGCTTGAGCTTTCAAAAAGGGGGTTGGTTATGTAAGAAAGATTTCTCTTAAGCTTTTCTAAACACTGGCTCCATCTAAAAGGCCCACAAGCAGAACATGCAAGTATGAGCATATATAGACTGATTAAGAGCAGCTTCACTCCGGAACGTGGAAAAAATGGTGCAGGCACTACTTTTGCAAAAAGCGCCGCACCAAACCGTATGCTACTGAGGTACCATGCGGTTTGGTGGACACAAACTCTCTGCGTTTGGTGCCATTAACAATTAATAGCACCTGCGCACATCTTGCAAGGGCAGTACGTTCACATGCAGTGCACAAAAAATGTGCCTTTCCCGCACTTGATTCTAGCGTGAATGCATATTCCATACTTTTGGGAATGCTGTGGAGGCAGAGAATCACTGTAGTAGTCACCACTACTACAGTGATTACTGCTGTCTTCAAGGTCCTGAGCCAAACGACTGCCCTGCTGCATGGAGGTCGCTCATTTGACACTACTGCCATTCACAGAACACCTTGCATTTTTCTCAATGATTGCAAAGTTACCTCTGATTGGATAAGGTAAATATAGTGATGTCACCACCCTGCCTCTCCAGTTCATCCTATCACAGAATGCCTTGCATTCATTGTGAAAAATGCAAGGCGTACTGTGAATGTCATCTGTCCTGAGTAAGCGGTCCCCTGTGGTCTCTATGCAGAAGGGAAACCACTCATCACTGAACCCGGAAGACAGTAGTGATCCTGTAGTATAAACAACTACTACAGTGATTCTCTGCTTCCACAGCGGTCCCACAGGTATGGCATATATATATATATATATATATATATATATATATATATATATATATATATATATACACACACACACACTATATTGCCAAAAGTATTGGGACACCCCTCCAAATCATTGGATTCAGGTGTTCCAATCACCTCCAAAGCCACAGGTGTATAAAATCAAGCACCTAGGCATGCAGACTGCTTCTACAAACATTTGTGAAAGAATGGGTCGCTCTCAGGAGCTCAGTGAATTCAAGCATAGTACCGTGATAGGTTGCCACCTGTGCAATAAGTCCATCCATGAAATTTCATTGCTACTAAATATTCCATAGTCAACTGTTAGAGTATAACAAAGTGGAAACAACTGGGAGCAACAGCAACTCAGCCACAAAGTGGTAGGCTACATAAAATGACAGAGCGGGGTCAGCGCATGCTGAAGAGAACAGTGCACAGAAGTAGCCAACTGTCTGCAGAGTCAATAGCTAAAGACCTCCAAACTTCATGTGGCCTTCAGATTAGTACAACAACAGTGCATAGAGAGCTTCATGGAATGGGTGTCCATGGCTGAGCAGCTGCATCAAAGCCTTACATCACCAAGTGCAATGCAAAGCAGCGGATGCAGTGGTGTAAAGCATGCCGCCACTGGACTCTAGAGCAGTGAAGACGTGTTCTCTGGAGTGACAAATCACGCTTCTCTGTCTAGCAATCTGATGGACGTCTCTGGGTTTGTGGTTGCCAGAACGGTACTTGCTTGTCTGCATTGTGCCAAGTGTAAAGTTTGGAAGGGGGATTATGGTATGGGGTTGTTTTTCAGGGGTTGGGCTTGGCCCCTTAGTTCCAGTGAAGGGAAATCGTAAAGCATCAGCATACCAAGACATTTTGGACAATTTTATGCTCCCAACTTTGTGGGAACAGTTTGGGGATGACCCCTTCCTGTTCCAACATGACTGCGTACCAGTGCACAAAGCAAGGTCCATAAAGACATGGATGAGCGAATATGGAGGGGGAGGAACTTGACTGGCCTGCACAGTGTCCTGACCTCAACCCGACAGAACACCTTTGAGATGAATTAGAGCGGAGACTGTGAGCCAGGCCTTCTTGTCTGACATCAGTGCCTGACCTCACAAATGTGCTTCTGGAAGAATGGTCAAACATTCCCATAGACACACTCCTAAACCTTGTGGACAGCCTTCCCCGAAGAGTTGAAGGTGTTATAGCTGTAAAGGGTTGGGCAAACTCAATACTGAACCCTAAGACTGGGATGCCATTAAAGTTCATGTGCGTATAAAGGCAGGCGTCCCAATACTTTTGGCAATATAGTGTATATTCTGGACCAATGTAACTATGCAATAAAATCCATACCTGGAATTCAACTTTAAACTGCTTAAACCTAGATGGAAGAAAGTGTGTTCTCTGCAGTAACCAATCACATGCTTGCATTTATTTTTTTCATCCACCACTGGGAATTTCGATAAACCAACAGGCTACTGTGGGCAATCCTGGGCTGTCACTGAAAATCTAATAAATCTGGAATTCCCTAGAGGAGTTACAGTATGTCAATGGTAAATATGGACTGGTACTGTTTTTTTAAACGGCAATCTCTATATCAATCTCTCTTAGTTGTATAGTTTATTATCTTTAATGTGTTTAGTCCTGGTCCAGGCCTGGCAATATAATGCTTTCCTTTACTTCCCAGTTGTTATAAATCACTTTTTATTTCATCCCTTACAACTCACTTAAATGCAGATCTTATTACTTTTTTTCTATGGAAGTGTATATACCCATAAAAATGATTTATCTTTGTGAATGACTCCTGGCAATTTCTCTATGGTCGATCCATGCAATACGATCAAGAACATCTAAACTAAAGTGAATTTATAGGGAGCCTGTACTGAGAGAAATATGGCAGAGGTGCAATTTCTAAAGTTGGCCATACACACAAAGATATCTCAAAGGAATGAATGAGAGAAATCCATAAAGCCTCTTTTTCACATTAATGGAATGGACGGACAAATCCCCCCACTGTTGGATATTGTAATCTGGCACCCAGCCTTTGTGGCTGTCAGAATACCTGAACAGTGACTGTGAATGACTGGCTGCCGTCACTGTTCAGCTGACATTATTCTGTCCAGCTCCTTCGATTTATCAGTTTTTCTTTACTTTCTTTTAAGGAAGTCCAGATGTGCATTTTGTGCATAGTCTGCTTCCTTGAAAATGTTAAAATTTCTCCCTGGCTGGTCCCAGAGCTGCTGCCTCTTCTTTAGTTGGCTGCTTCTAAAGGTGACATCCATGCCGGTATGCTCTTGGTTGGGGCTGTGTGGATCAATTGAAACACAAAGCACCTGCCAAACACAGCCCCTGCAAACTGCATCAGCATGATCACTAGGGGAAGGTGTGACAACAAGGTGGCACCACGGAAAAACAATTGGAAGATGATGACAAAACGATATCACCTTATCACAAGAGGTGCTTCCATAATGTCCTACAGTCAGGTATTATTTTAATGATGGGCTGAAGTTAAAAAATATTTAAATAACTTTTGAAATAATTTTAGCCTGTTAACATTTATATGAGATTTGGTGGTTGAGTTTACATATAGTTTAATGTTCCAAGAATACCCCTGAAGGCCTCGGACGATCTTTGCTCTATTCAAATACGGACTTCCAGTTTGGAGGTGGCACTTTGAACAATAAAGGCATGCATTGCTGCTAGCTCTGTCCCCATCTTTGAAGCAGTTTGGGCACCATGGAATCTTTCCCTTTCCGAATTGTCCACTCAGTTGTCTGAAAATAATCACTAATTCACTGTTATGCACTGACATTGAATGTATCCATTTGCCTTTCATCGATGAGTCTATCTTTTTTGATTTTTCATTTGATTTGTGCTCGCATTTCTATGCAATTTTGTTTGTTGTAAGCCCTTTGAAAATCAATAAAAAGTAAATTATAAAAAAAAAAGGCAATCATTTCAGTAAGTTACTTAGTTTTGACTTTTGAGGTCCGTATTTCAATACAGACTGCCCCAGGTTTTGGGACTTATGGAATGACCTAGATTAACAACAGAGCTTTATGCCGACATAAAGCTAAGGTAGGCATTTATCACAGGGAAAAAGAGGAGCAAGAAACCATCAGTGCCAGGAAACAATTATGACTGCCCCCAAAAATTCACGGCCTATGTGCCATTAAGACCCGATTGATTCGATACGTAAAAGAGACACTGCATGAGCAAGGTGACGGGTTGATTTACTAAAACTGGAGAGTGCAACTTTGCATAGAGACCCGCTTCCAGGGTTTTTCTGCAAAATCTAGTTCAGCTGCGCATGGTAGCCAGTCAGCTTCTACCTTCAGATTGTTCAGTCAAGCTTTGACAGAAAAAACCTGGAAGCTGATTGGTTTCTATGCACAGCTGCACCAGATTTTGCACTCTCCAGTTTTAGTAAATCAACCCCACAGTGTCCTTAGAATGGGCATCCCGCAAGCCATTCATACTCATCTTAACTGCTCACCTTGCAGCTACTTGCTCCTCTGTAGCTGCTGCTAAGATTGGCTGTGCCGGGGACAATTCCAGTTTGGTGACCGCACAGGGACAGTTACAAGGAGCAGGTCACATGCCCCCCATACCTGGGTATTTTTGCCATCTGCAGAGTAGTAAAGAGCAGCAAAGGAATGCAAGTATATGAGGGGGAGCGGTGGAGGTGGGAGTACTCCCTTTCCAGAGTTATGACTTTGTCAAGCTGCCTATTTGTTTCCTTAACTTCCCTAGTGGTATGACTATGTCCATATTTCTGTGCTCAAAGCGGTACAAGTTCGCATATTGCTGAGCAAAGTCGCAAAATCGTTTTCAGTGCCTGATGACGAATTTCCCCACAAATCATTATCTCTCAATTCTGCAAGTGGTTCTGATTTACTATCGCTGTTCTCTAGCTGGTCTAAAACCGCTTTTGACCTAAAGGGATGCTTTTTGGACGCCGTGGACATTTCTCAGTTTCCAGGCAAAAAGAACGGTAAAAATGCAGGCAGGGCACAGGACAAAGCACTAGGGACAAAATGTATGTGAAATGGTTTGATACAGTAATGTTTTACTATATGATTTTAGTGAATGTCACTTTTTGTCATTTCAAATTTCCCACCATTCCGTCCCCGTATGTCCCGACGCTCGCAGGGGATGGAACCCAGATGACAGATGCCGGCATCCGCCAGAGGACATTACAGGGGACACTGCAGGAGGGACATCGCGGGAGCGCAGGACAAGGTAAGTGATCGAGGGACCGAGGAGCAGCGCTGCATGGTATTCCCGAGTGTAGCTCGGGGTTACCGCTTGTGGTACTGAAACTTTACCCCAAACTACACTCAGGAATACCGCCAGGGGGGGTTAAAGGAGACCTGTACTGAGAATGTGGAGGTTGCTATCACTGACAGCTACTTATGAAAATACTAGTTCCTTCGCTGTCATGTGAGCCTAATGGCTCCTGTACTTTCTCAGTTAGTAAGTTGGTAATTTTTGACCTAAACTTGACTTTCCTGATCTGCATGCTAGTTCCAGAGTAGCCTGGGATGAAGAACCTTCGAAAGGAGGTCAGCAATGGTGGTCCTTGTATTTTCCTTGTGAAGGGCTTACTTTAAGCCTGAGTTAGCAGAACAGCCTTAGATGAACTGAAAGGCTTCATGGTGAACGTATGGATCACGTTCATCTTTTTAGACTATAAGGCTACGTTCACACTAGCGTTGTGTACAGGCAGCAGAAAGGCGTTTAGGAAGCGTTTTTACCGCTTCCCAAATGCCTCAGAGAATTCTGCACATTGCAGCACATGGTGCTGTTCTAACGGAAGCGTAAGCGTCGCGGCAAAATGGATGCCTCTGGTCGATTCAGGAGGCGTTGAAGCCTCCTATTCTAGTCTATAGTGCCGCTCTGCAAACGCCCGGCCGGCGTTTGCGGTGCGGTTGCGATGCGGTTGTGGGGCGTTTGCGGAATGGTAACACCATTCAAACTTCATTATAGGCGTTTGTAGGGCGTTTTTAACGCTCGGCAAATGCCTAGCAACCCGCCGCTGAACCGCGCATGCAGCGCTTGCCAAGCAGTAAAAAACGCTCCGCAAACGCCGGACCAACGCTTGCCAAATGCTATAGGGGCATTTAGCAAGAGTTGGTAAAACAGTCAAGTTTGAACGAGACCTTACAAGTGCAAGATATTGAACAGAAATCAGTTACCTTTAGAGTTCTGCACAAAGAAAGGGGAAAGAAAACCACACGTGAGAATAAAGAACTGGATTCTCAGCTGGTCAAAGTAGTTGAATCCTAGATGTGAAAAAAATACTCAGCCTAGTAAAGCGCGGGATGGTTTATTGTTACAAAGAAAAAGGATGTATATCTTCAAAGAATTTAGCTGTGAAGGGAGGAAATTCACTCATCAGGGGAGCAACAGTTTGGGCAGACGTTCAAGTTAAAAAAATGACTGAATAGTAAAAGCAATACATTTATCGTATTACTATAGGATACTACAAAAATATTGGGAAAATCCCTGCAACAGAGGTCATATTGAAGTGGACTTGAACCCAGTTGTTCATGAAAGGCTATGTTAGAGTGGTTCTAAAGCCTTGGTGATTTTTACCTTAATACATTCCCTGCATTAGGGTAAAGAACACCCCACTAATGATCTCCCTCCCTCACCTAAACACTTACCTGAACCTGTCAGTGATCTAGCGCTGTGCCTGGCTGCAGTCTTCTCTCCCCTCTTTTTCTCTTCTCAGAGGGACTCGGGCAGCAATGGGAGCCATTGGCTGTCAGTCAAATTGTGTGAGCAGAAAGTGGGGGGTGGGTCCAAACTGCACTGTGTTTGTCAATAGACACACACAACACAGCTCGTATGGGGGCAGGTATGCTGTCATAGAAAGTGGCTTGATATGGGGACACAACGAGAAGAGCAGGAGCCAGGAGCACCGGTGGAGGACCCCAGAAGAGGAGGATCCTTTGCACAGAGCAGGTAATATGACATGCTTTATTATTTTTAGAGAAAAATTGAGTATTTACAATCCCTTTAACAATTTTCCAAAAATGGATAGTTAAAGAGTAATAGAAGGACCAAAATACGTACCTTTCCTAAACAGAATGTCCTGTTATAACATAGCTTTTACGTTTCTATATGGAACATGGTCTTGACAAGTTAAATTAATATGAGACCAGACATATTTACTCATACAGGAGCCGACCGCATGTAGCAGATTGATAAGAGAGGCAGCCATTGGCACATAGCGGAGCTGAGAAATTCACAGCCCTCTATGTGCCACCCGGCCGCCTGTCCTATCCAGTTGGCGAGGCCCACTAGGCAAAAGCCCGGTGTGCCCTATGGCCAGTGCGGGCCCGCTTATAGATAATTGTAGACATTTTATTCTTTGCATACATTATTTTCATTTCCTCTCTGATCTTCCCACAATGGTCATTTTCACTTATGGCAGATAAATCCATGTCCCTTTCCTTTTTTTACAGCCGTTTCACATTGCCCTGACAGCTACAGTATACTAAACCACAGAAGTTTAGTGTGCGGCAGCTCTCCGACAATAGCTGCAGGGGGGCGGTTCAGCCATTTCAACGCATCACACAGCCCCCCCCCCCCTTTTTGACTCAACCTAATTTGAAGTTTACAAAGTGACACTTCATTCATGTCACTGTGCAGCAGCGTTATGTGATCCCATCCTTTACACTGCGATAAAATGCAACATTTAATGCAACTCACTGCAACAATGCAGTGCTGTATTACAGTGTGAACAGGACACATAGAAAACAATAGTTTTCTGCATGTCCTAGCAGTGACTGGTATTCTTCTATTGAGGAGAAATGCTGGTCACCTATATATGTGAACTGGCCCTAAAACCCTATGTATGCATCCTGGAACATGTGACATGAACTTCCCAGGATGCAGCTGTGAGGCCAGGCTTACATCACCGTCTGTCAGCTGAATCTGAGTCACAGGAGTGCAGAACTAAGTGCACTCCTGTGACCCGCAAGTGAAGTATGGCCAAAACAGCTTTTGGCAATGCTTCTTCTTTAAAGCAGACTTCTAGCTAAAAATAACAAGATAAAAATGAATAATCCATTAGAGAATAAAAAAATAAATAAAAATATTGTTGCAATATAGACTTTCAGTCTGGATCCCCAGCATCATTCAACCCACTTCCTCAGAGCCCAGACTGTCCTGGATAGTGAAAGCAGACTCAGCACAGTGATGAGCGTATCTCCCTGTCACTGCTTTCTCCTTCTATCAGCATTGCTTGGCTTTTTCTGTCATTCTTCCTCTTAGGCTCCATGTACACGGGACGTTTGGAAAACACTTCTGAATGATGGAAACTGACTGCTGGAAAATGTAGGTTAAAAAATGTCTGTTTAGCCGTGTTTGCATACTGCGTTTATATGCGTTTAGAAGCGTTTTTTAAAGATAACATCAGGAGACCCTCCAAAATGCTCAGAATGCACTGAAAAACAGTACAAAATTAACTATTTCAGACATTTTGTGAGAAATAGAGAGCGCAGAAGCAGAGAGAGCAGTATGTGTTGAGATTAGCTGTCTTTTCTGGTTGTATTCACTATGGATCCCATCATGAACATAATGCAGCACGTTGTACCATTTTTTCCTTCACGCAAAACCTGGAACTGACTGCGCTGGTGTGCTAGGTCCATTCGAATACATGGAAAACGCTTTGCATGCATTTCTGATGATGAAAAAAGGCTCTGGACAGCATTTGGATATGGAACAGTAAAAAAACGCTTCTAAACGCAAACGCTTCTAAACGCCGTTAGCTGCGTTTACAAGCGTTTGGAACACTGATAAAATCTACTCCTGAAGGCAAGTTTGGTGCGTTCAAAAAAAGGACTGTAAACTCAACTGCCTGTAAACGACTGTAGTGACATAGTGTACATAGACACATAGGAAAACATTAGGGAGAGTTCAGGGGCTGCTGAAAAAAATGCAGAAAGGCTCCTGAACGTGAGATTATCAGCTGCAGTGTACATGGAGCCTTACACTCGAGCCTTACTGAACAAGGACTGCAATAGGCCGATATCAGGTTCAGCTCAGGTTCTTATACTGTTTGCATTTAAAATACAATTAGGCCTAATGTATTACATTTTGCAAAATACACCCGTGCACATGCGCAAGTACATGCCAGTGCTGGTGATTATGCGCAAACAGCGTTTCCTGTAATGCATTCAAATGGGTTAAAATATGCTGCAGCTGTGGATTTATTGAGCCAAACTAACAGAAGTATTTTACATTATACACTCATACGCTTGACTTTACAGACGTGTGCTAGAGGC